ACGTGCACAAATTACTCCCGTATTGGCCTCATTACACTGGCTTCCTGTTTGTTTTAGAATTAAATTTAAAATTGCATTAATTGTTTTTAAAATTCTAAGTGGGTTGTCACCTTCATATTTATCAGAGCTTCTACATGTCGACAACCCCGGCCAAGGTACTGAGATCTTCCGACCAGATGCTTCTCGATGTGTCCAGATCTAGGCAAAAAAACAGAGGTGACAGAGCGTTTGCAGTGGCTGCTCCAAATATTTGGAATAGTCTGCCAATTTTTGTAAGGAAAGCACAGACTATTGAAATATTCAAGTCCTTGCTTAAGACGCATTATTATGCTTTGGCCTTCAATTCTAGCTGAGCTCTGATATCTTGACCTGTGGGTCATTTCTGTTTGTATTTTGTGTGATATTGTCTGTTTAATAATTTGTTTTGTTTCTTTGTTGGATCTTGTGAAGCACTTTGGTCAATTACGATTGTTTTAAATGTGCTATATAAATAAAATTGAACTGAACTGAACTGAACACACTCAAAATTGCTTAAATCACCTTTCTTTCCCATTCTGACATTCAGTTTGAAGTTCAGGAGATTGTCTTGACCAGGACCACACCCCTAAATGCATTGAAGCAACTGCCATGTGATTGGTTGATTAGATAATTGCATTAATGAGAAATTGAACAGGTGTTCCTAATAATCCTTTAGGTGAGTGTATATGATGACAGAATTTTCATTTAGAAGTGAACTATCCCTTTAAAGAACAGAGAGTCTGAAGGGTAGTATGCTAATCTTGAACAGGAGCTAAAACTTTATCATGGCCAGTTCCGCACTTACTTCTGAATGTCCGTGGGACAATTTGAGGAGCTCCCCCAGACAGTGCCACTGCATCTGACGAGACAAACCACAAACTTCAGGGAACCAATCGATCCGGAGCAGCGTCTGGCAGTCTGCTTAAGGTGAGCTGCCCTCTTAAAATCAAGTCACTGATTGTCATGTTCAAGTGTTGTTGTCATGTTCAAGTGTTGATAATACAATGTTTCCAGTTGAGTCACAATGTAAACATTTAAGTGCCACAGTTGTACTGACGGCAACACATTCACTTTCCATAGTCGTGGACACAATTAGGTCTAGAAAAAAAATGGGATGTGTCGACACCATAGACAGTAAAAGAAATGGACACAGCGACCCCATAGACTTCAACGGAGAAAAGTGAAGTCAATTAGAAGCACTCACTTCCTGATGGCTGAGCGTACTGCGCAGGCTCGAACTGAGCTTAACGTCATAGATGTGACGTGAGCAACCTGTCTGACAGTCGTAAGTCTTCTAGTAGCTGTGCCAAGAGGAATCTGAATCTTTCCCTTCTGAATCTTGGAGAGACGGAGAGCGTGAGTAGGAGCTGTCCATGAGCTAGCAGCAGGATCAACTTTATGACTCTCAATGCTGCCCTACAAAGGCAAAAGACCTTAACTCGCTAGAGTGTGGAACTGATAAAAATGACTTTAAAGATTTTTAGTTGTCCCGGCAAATTAATTCTAGGTAAGACACTGAAAATCTGGCAATTAGATGTTTAAAGGGGTCATATAATGGTACATGCACTTTTACAAGTTGATTGTACTGAAATGTGTGTTGGCAGTGCCTGTACACAACCATCATATAATGATAAAAATCCATCCAGTGTTTTTGTTTTAATCTCCTTATATGTTTTCCCCTGCCTCAAATTGAGCCGTTCGTTTTTGTGACGTCAATAAAACGGACGCCCCTCCCGCGATTGTTGATTGACAGCAGTGATTCAACACAGACCCGCCCTCGCTCGTCCTGTCAATCATAGTCCGCACGGATCGGCGCGGTCATTGTTGATATGCTGGAGCACTGTCTATGAGCAGAATGGCGTCTAAGCGATTGTGGTGTTCTGTTCTTGGGTGCAATAACGAACACAGCAGTCATTTTAATGTTCCTAAATCCGAACCGCTGAAGACGCAGTGGCTGAGTTTGTTTTCGAAGGGAATATTCCCCACGAGCAACGTCAATGCTCTCATGTTTGCCGAATCATTTCTCAGTGGACTGCTTTATAAACGAGGATCAGTGTAAAGCTGGTTTTGCTGAGAAGCTGCACCTGAATAAAGGATCGGAACCTATTCGTGTTCCTGCTGAACCTTCAGAAGAACTAAAGTGAGTGTAACGTTTTATTAATCTTTATATTAATCTTTGCAAATCGCCAGCTGCACGCTTCACGATGAATGCGTCGGTTTACACTCAGGGTACATTACAGCATGTTTTCTATGTACAACGTTCTCAATATAATTCATAATCCCACGTTTATAATGAACAACGCGTTATGGCTATTGTGTTATTGTGTTACAAACGGTGTATGCGCAGAACAGAGAGGCGGAGTCAGCAAAGCTCATTATCATTTAAAGTCATATGCACTGAAACGGCGTGCTGAAAACAGAGCTGTTTTTGACCAGGTAAAATAAGCGTTTTCTTACAATACTAATGAGAATTTTTAATTAAAGTATATTACAAACTTTTAATTTAGACCCTAAAGAATCATATTAGCTTGTACAAAAATGGCATTATATGACCCCTTTAAGTAATGAAAATTATCTACATAACAAAATTTTGAGCTCAAACTTGACTTTTGACCACTATTTTAAAGTAACTGTACTCTGCCTTTGTATTGTCAGCAAAAAGTGAGAAGTCATGCCAAGGCAAAAAGCAGTAACTTCCACATTATCAATATTTGGTTGCTGATCACCATTAACAAAATCATTATAGTAACACCTGTATACAATCTAGTGATCATGGCATTTATTTTGTATGATTTACAATTACCTAGCCTTCTAGTTATTGTGCTTTGGTTGCATTCTGGTGGCCCTATTAATACATTAGACATGATGTATTATCCATAGCGGTAAAGACTAAAGAGTATCTTCAAGTGGTACCGAGTGGCATAAGACTTGCTAAACATGCTTTATAATGTAATGTAATGATCACGATAAAACAGATCCTCGCGCACATTCGACCCGGAGACTGGTTTATAGCGGTGGATCTGAAAGACGCACAAGCGTTTACCGAGATTCGTGTTCGAAGGTGTCACGCTCCGTTCACGAAAAGTAGCCTATGCAGTGCTTTACCCCTTAGGACTCAGTAGGGAGCGCGTTCTGGACTTCTGAACGCAGAAAACCTTCTGTTTTCTGCGTCTTTTCAGTATGCGTTGGTTTCAGCTGTCTGCCCTATTATTGTGCGTGCACTTCGCGCGTCCCGCGGATTTATTCTGCACGCTGTGTTTTGTATGCATGCTTTTAACAGCTGTTCTGATGTTGTATGCACCAGCACTTCTTGCTTCATTATGTTGTATGCGCCAATATACCCTTGTTGCTTCATTATTATCACTCTGTGATATATTAGCCCCACGTCGGCTCGACCGTGTTCAAGACGGAGCTGAAGGCGCCGGCGAAGTTTTGGCACTCTGCCAGCTAGATGCATGATTGTTTCAACTAGGTCCGGTACCCGAACTGGGTGAGGCGGGGCTTTAGTTCTTTGTTGTATTGACCTGCTTCGGCATGTGTAAATTTTCTGTCAACTCTGCATATATCCTTCGCGATCGATATCGCACGTTTGTCGATGGAGCGGGTTAAGAGCATACTAAATGTTCTGACCGCATTAGTGCAGGACAAAGCTCTGAGGACATCAGAAGTTACAGGGACGGATGGTAGCTGTACAAAGTACACAGGCTACATCGTAATTTTAATTTTAATGGAGAGTAAAACAAAGGCAGAACACCATATAATCTGATAGGTAGCATTATTTGATAGAACTACAGCACCGTAACTTCATATTGACGTGCGGCTAAACAAAGGCAGAGTGCCGTAACTCAATATGAGCGTTCCAAAACTAAGCCAAAGAGCCGTAACTGGTGTTACGGTGTTCTGCCTTGGTTTCTCATGGGCTTTTGGAAGTTACGGATAAAACAAACCATTATTTTCTCGAAAAAACAACGGAATTGACTCAAGATACTTATCCACATGATAAAGGAGGTCTTGAATGTGCCAAAAATATCAATAACTCATTTTCGACCAAAAACGAAGTTACGGTCTTTTGCCTTTGCATGGCAGTATGGGCTTCTCCCTTGATTTATCGGACTTTATGCCTCCATGTCCCCCCGATTGCCTGCGAGCTTCTCCTCCTGTCTATACGGTAATTTCTCTACTGTGCGACAGAGAATCGCGTGGTTATGACGCAATCGTTGGCCTATTTTTACAAAAACGGCTTCTACGGGGCCATAACGTAAGATACAAGGTAATGGAGCCTTTTATACATTGTCGTGTTTCTTTAGAAATAAATAATGGACAAAAGGAGTCTCTAAACGCCTCAGATGTAAAGTTATTCGCTGTCAAAGTGACGCCAACATGAATGGGAGTCAATGGAATGCTAACAGCAGGTGATGGCTTGCTAACCAATGGCGGCCCCCATGGGAGGTACGCATTCCGGGTGCTGGATTAACCCCTTGGTCGACACACAAGCAATCAGAAGATCCGTCATTGTTGCTGTGACGTCACCTTTGTTTCCTTGTATGGGATTGGTTGAAGCCTTTTCTGTCGCCGCGAAAGTAAAAAAAAATCGACATCGAAGCCGCAGCACATTCGCGTTCGGTGTGGAAGCACTCATTACACAAACAGACGATCAAAAAATAAAACCATTGCGCAAATTATTTGCGCGTCAAAATTGCGTCCAGTGTGAAAGGACCTTTACTGTTGAGTCCATATCGTAAAGGGTCTGTTTGCAAAGCCTGTGCCAAAATTGCGACTGTTTTACCAAAGAATCCACAGTGAAATGTTCCGCATACAAATAAATAATGCTCAACTGAGACATTCGCATTAGGGCTGCACGTTTTCAAGTTTTTCTTTAATCGTTAACCGAGGCCCTTAGCGGTTAATACTCGGTTAACCATAGTGTGCGCGCCGCCGATCTAATGAAAGTGCGTATCCATACAACGAATGTTATTTCTCACAGCTGGTGTGTGGTGGGCGTTCTGGCGCAATATGGCTGCCGTCGCATCATCCAAGTGGATGCTGCACATTGGTGGTGGTTGAGGAGATTCCCCCTTCTATGTGAAGCGCTTTGAGTGCCTAGAAAAGCGCTATATAAATGTAATGAATTATTATTATTATTATTTCTTGTGCCATTTATACGCCAAAAATAGTTTTTGCGTCTATATGACACGCAGTTTTCGCGTGCATATAATACGCACTTTAGGGCGTGTGTAATACGCACGCATACAAGGGGTTTCAGTGCGTATAGCATATGCACGCAAAAAGCATTTTTGGCGTATAAATGGCATGAGAAATTACATTTGTGGTATAGATACGCACTTTCATGAGACTGTGTTGGAGATACAGACACACGAGAAAGGGGTAGTTCATTTTTAACACCTTTAATAACTGGTTGGACCACATTTGAAACGAAATTAATTTATAAACAGGGCTCCAGACTAACTTTTTGCCTTGGTTGCACTGGTGCGCCTAACTTTTTTATTTAGGTGCACCAGCACAAAATTTAGGTGCACTCAAATTTTTCCTCGTCTCGTGTCGCCTTTAACGCCACAATTTCAAGGTCACCTTTTTATCACGCTCCATATATTCATATATATTATGTAAATGCTTTTAAACAAGAATAAGGTGTAGTTTTTTATTTTTTTATTTGAAGCACAATTATACTGTATATAAAAATATAAATCTTAAAAAAAAAAAAATTAAAGTGCTGTTTTTACATTGTTCATGTTAGGGCAGGGTATTGACACAAATTTCACAATTCGATTCAATATTGATTATTTTGGATATCAGGTACAATACATGGCAAATTTTCTCAAGAAAAACAAATCTCAACTAATGCTGTAAACTGGGAGTCAGTTGTAGCCCACTATGCTTCATTAGCCTACTATAATATTGAAGGTAAAAATTACCTGATTTGTACACAAACACCTAAATTACACTTTTTTTTTATAATAATAAAGTTATATGAATATAAACATTTAAATGGTGGCTGCATAAAAACTTGCCAGATTTTTTTCAAACAACATGCATTAAATATTGAAAAACATAAAAAATTATAATGAATATGTAATATGGTGCATATATTAGGCACAATGCTCCTCTAGAGTTAATTTTTCTAGCTAGCTAATGAGTTTATGGGCACTAGATATGTTTTTTCTGAGGTAAATGTGACGTTACATTACATTGTTTAAAAGCGTTTTACTGACGTCTTTCCACTGTTGAAACACCGATTGAGTGATTCCATGTGAAATATACGGATTTCGATAAGTTGTACTCTATCTTTTAACACACTTTCAGATGCTCGTTCATGTTTATTTCGCACTGTAACTGGTATTATTAAGGCAGAAGAGGAGATCATGTGCGCTCGCGCTGCTGCTTCTCTAGAGCTGAGCTGAGCCAGAGCGATCTCACGCCACAGCGTCAAAACACTATTTATGTTTTTGAATTTCGGAAGAAAATGGACCTAATTTGAAATCTGAGACTTTGTTTCATATCAATAGTAGCACAAAGCACAAAGATTATTGCGATTTATTGGATGGGATGCTCGCTACAATGTTCCATTCATTCATCAACTGAAAACAGCATAGCCCAACCGTTCGTAAAAATCAATGAGAATCGATTAAAATCGAGAAATCAATATTTTTTACCTAGTTCAAGTAGCCTACATTTTTTAAAGTTTCTTCGTCGTCTGTTTTCTTGCGTTTATTTAGCTGATGCTGCTGATTGCCGTAACTGATTCTCTGGTGCTCAGGTGACAGGTCGCAATTTAGCACGGAGCATTTTAGTTCTACAGGAATATCTGAACCACAACCAATCAGAGGCAAAGACCCACCCAATCTCTATCTCTGATTGGTTTAGACCACGATATGATCCAACCATGCGTGCAAGGAGAACAAAAGACACGTTTGTGGAGAGGCAGCGGATGCGATCATGCGAGAACGTTAGGTGCACTGGTGCGACCTAGGAAAAATTCTTGTCGCACCCTTACAAATTTTGGTCGCACTCTAGAGCCCTGATAAAACGCAGTGGTAAGGACAGAGCAGTTAAAGTAGGTCACTGACTTTTGCGTTCGCGGCCTGTGAACAAGGCCCTAGAATTTAATGCAGTCATATTATAGCACTTTTTTTTTTAGAAACTTTGTGCAAAGAAACAGTCAAATAAATGCGTACAACAACAACATTTATCTACACCCATTTTTAACAGTAACAAGGTGAGTTTTGTGCCTATAGCTTACACTGCAACAAAGGGCAAATTAAATACAAAATTGATTGAAATAATTAAAAAACAAGAGCATAGACCCACATTTTTCTTTTTTTAAATAAAATCCCAAAAAAAAAAAAAAGACCAAATATGCTTGTCTGCATTTTCAGGGAATAAATTACCCAAATTAGGCACCAAATTAAATCAGGCTGCTCTACAGAAATCCTTGTATTCGAATTGCTTAGTTTTTATTAAGAAATATTAACATGTCAACGTGATCGGGAGTGAGACTGGTGCGCAGTCTATTTACTGTAAGTCCAGCTGCCGAAAACACCCTCTCTGAAGGTACAGATGTGCCAGGTATGCACAAATACTGTTTAGCAAGTTTGGCCAATCTGGGAAATCGACTGGCGTTTAGTTTCCACCAGTCCACGGGGCTCATTTCTAGGCCAATGGGACTGTCGCTAAGAAAGTTTTTGACTTCTGTTTCAAAACTGGTGAGGGCTGATGAAAAGTAGTTTTCGCCAAGTATGAGTGCCATCGCCGTGGCTGCGCTGTCTTTGGCACTTTGTGCTGGGGCCGCGGCCGCCTCCTCTTGCCCGTGTTCTACACTTTGCGTAATTACGGCTTCTGTTACATTTGGTACATTGTACGGAACATTTGCTGCAAGGCTACAGAGTTTTGCATTTGCCAGCGCTCGTTTTTTCTGGAGATAAGAACCCGAGATGCTTATGGCGCGGGTCCAACATACACGCAGTCATCGCTGGGGATGACAACATCTCTGGCTCAGTAACCTGCACACACGTATTTAGACTTTACTACATGCAAACTTTAACTTAGTGAAATTATCAATAATCGTCTGGTACCTACCTTCATTCTTTCAGACAGGGAGTTTCGGACTTTAGTTTTAAACTCCACCAGAACCCTGTGCGCGTCGCCTTCGCTTTGTAGGTGTGTATTTATTAGTCCAAAGGTGATTGGATAGGTGTTTGAGATGGACACTTCCCTTTCTGCAGACATAACTGTAGTTGCACACTTGAGCGCTTTTAGAGTTGGTAACATCATCAATAAGCTGCCAGTGCGCGTCCTTTAACTCCAAAATCCGTGCATCTTGAACTTTCGTTACAGTGCGATCTGACAGCACCGCAGTAACTGCCCACCGCTGTTCCAATAGGCGCTCAAACATGTCACAGACGCTGTTCCACCTGGTTTTACAGGACTATATTAGTTTGTGGGGTGGCAGTTTCATTTGTTGTTGTTTTCTTTCAAGCGCTTTCGTTGCCACTGAGCTGTGGTTGAAATGGCTCACAAGCTTTGCAGCAGCGGCCAGCAAACATGCTTCTTTGGGGCCCGAATGGGGCCCTTGCGGGCAGCCCACTGTGGGCCCATATACCGGCGTGAAATGCGGGGCACGTGTGGGACCCACACTTTGGGACCCAGGTGGGGCCCCAGTGGGACAGCCCAAAAGTGTGGGCTGACTGTGGGCAGGCCCACAGTAAGTAGAGTGGGCCCCATTGGGGCCAGTTGTGGGCCCACAGCAAACCCTTATAGGGGCCTATGTGGGGCCATTGCGGGCAGCCCACTGTGGGCCCAGATATCGGCGTGAAATGCGGGGCACGTGTGGGCCCCACACTTTGGGACCCAGGTAGGGCCCCAGTGGGACAGCCCAAAGTGTGGGCTGACTTTGGGCTGGCCCACACAAATTAGAGCAGGCCCTCATGTGGGCTGGATGTGGACACACTGTGGGTGCAGGTGCAAAGTTTGAGCACACAGAGTGTGTACACCCATATTACTATATGCAGTACAATAGCACTTGTTAGCAGCAATAAATCGAGGGTCATGTTTTTTTCCCCAAATAATTTATTTATATTAAATAATAATTATAATTAATAATAATACAGTTTGAAAAAGCAATAACCACAAAGACATCACGGCTTCCACCTCACATGCAGTGGCTTGACTGCTTTTTGTCACAGCATCTAAGTGAGAAAGGATCAATTGAAATACAAATGTTAAAAAAAAAAATAAGGGTTGTACTGTTGTTCTAGGTGCTATTTATAAATGCTCAACTGAGAGAATGACTGACTACTAGGTCAATAGCCGCGTTTCCACTGCCGGGCCAGGGCTAACAGCGAGCCGAGCCGAGCCAGTGGCCTCGGGCCTCAAGCACCGGGCTTGCGTTTCCACTGCCGGGCCAGTAGCCCCGCAGCGCTGCCCAACCCATTTCAGCGGTTATTATGAATTTATTTATTTTTTAAGTTAGGAAGATAGCATGTATATTAAAGGGATACTCTACTGGTTTTTCATATTAAACTATGTTCTTCCCTTAACTAAGACGAGTTGATACATACCTCTCTCGTCTCAGTGCGTGCACTACATCGCTGTCTTGCGGCGAAACTTTGTTAGATCTTATCTCAGCCCTGTTCATTTGATACGTGCCAAGAAGAGAAGCGACCAAACACCTCCACATTTTCCCTATTTAAATACAGTTACTAGAGTAGTGTAACTCGACCAAGAACGGTGACAGAAAAGCGCAACGTTTTATTTTGTAAGCGTGTACAATGGATAACTATATTGTATGGCAGAATACCATAGCAAGTGCTTGGGAGCACTTCGACTCGGCGCAGTAATATCATCACTCGTGAAAAGTCCGCTCCCGTTGAAATGAGAGGGAGGAGGAGAGGGAGGAGGAGAGGACTTTTCACAGAATAACATAGTTTAATATGAAAAACCAGTAGAGTATCCCTTTAACTCACCGGCCGTGGCTGCAGTAGTGTCCAGATTGTCTCGCGAGTCGCCACTAACAGAGGGACGGTGACCCAGCACACCGTCCATCAAGTCGAACCATGAAATTTGGAAAGTTCCTTCTCTGAGCTCCGCTTTGTCCATTGTGCGTTTGAATCGCCTTGTACAATACTGCGCCCGCAACTTTTTTTTTCCTGAACTTGAAGCGTTGCTCGCTGAATGCTTAGCTTAGAAAGTTCAGCATCGATGTATTTTATAACGTCTTCGTTTCTTCACACGCCGTCAAATTGACGTTGTACCCTTTCTTCTGCCCAAATGCTCAGAAGAGCTTTGGTATCTTCGACAGACCAGTACAGGCGATTCACCATTTCGAGCAGCGATTATTTTGCGCGATATAAAAAAGTGAAATGTGCATCTTGCTTCAGATCATAACGTTCCATAACACCGATAAACTCCGCCTTTTACCTTTAATAAGTGATATGTTAATTGTTGTATGTATCATGTTTTGTAGATTCAGTTATAAGTAATTTACAATTGCTTAGTTAATGATTAACTAATCATTTACAAAACATGAACATGCGTTTCATTAATGTTTAATAAAGGTTTTTATTTTCTCCCTACTCTTACAAAATTACAAACAACCAGCCTGAAAAACATGTTGTATGAAGACTGTTTAAAACACCCCTCCTAATCCTCACAGAATTTGCAAGACAATGTCTATAATAAATAGTGTGTGTAATTTCTTCAGTACCGTCAGCAGAACTGATAACGTCTGGGCTTATGCGGTCTTCCTTAATTTGACCCCAGGGCCCGTTTAATGTTTAATACCGGGTTTTGGTACCTATCCCTACGTATGGGTGAGTTCATATGGATGAAGGCCTGTTGTGTTCTGTCTCTTGGTTTGTGATATTGGGAAACTCACCTTCGTCATGTACTGAGTGTGGATGGCATCAAGATCTGGTCCTGAAGAATCACAGGGTCAAATGATTATATCTCATCTGGTAACAAGAGCATAGCCATAACTTTAAAAACTCTAATGATATCTTTACCCCCTGATATTGCATTGTGGATATAAATTCAAACATTTTAAAGGCTAAGAGTATGAGCCATGAGTAAACTGGCCAGATATCTGTGAAAAATAACTATGCCTAAAGTTGTCGACTCCCTGAATTCAGCATTTAAAAGTAAAAAGAATTTCAGTATTTATTAATAAAAAATAAAAATAAACCTTTGAGTTGGACAGTATGGTGTTTGTCTCATTGGCCAACATAGTTAAAAACACACCTAGAGAAAAAAAAAAATATATATACACCAATGACCATGATTTCCTGTTATCATAATAGTTAAATTAATTATTATAACTATGACCATTATAACATTATATTTGCCGCCTATTCAGCCTTCAGGCTTCTCAGGGACGATATCACTGAAAAAAACTGGGGTTAATGAATGTAAAGTGTGAGACTTCATTAAAAAGCATAAACCTACAGACCCCCAACGTTTGAACAGTATGTTTGAGGTTTTGCTTACTAGTCGAGTTCATAGCCGTGGAGGTTGTCTTGGACAGGGGGTGCAGCATGATGATCTTCTAGAAGATTGATAATAAAAGTGATTTCAGGAGGGACAGAAAAAAAACCCCTCCACAACAAAAGTTCTAGAACATAACATGCAATGTGTCACAGAGCCAACAATGTTACATAGGATTTACAATAGAACAAAGGGTTTATTACAAGGAAGCAAGCTAGAAATGAAATGCAGAAAAGATAAAGAATATATATATATATATATATATATATATATACACTCACCGGCCACTTTATTAGGTACCCCATGCTAGTAACGGGTTGGACCCCCTTTTGCCTTCAGAACTGCCTCAATTCTTCGTGGCATAGATTCAACAAGGTGCTGGAAGCATTCCTCAGGGAGTTTGGTCCATATTGACATGATGGCATCACACAGTTGCCGCAGATTTGTCGGCTGCACATCCATGATGCGAATCTCCCGTTCCACCACATCCCAAAGATGCTCTATTGGGTTGAGATCTGGTGACTGTGGAGGCCATTTTAGTACAGTGAACTCATTGTCATGTTCAAGAAACCAATTTGAAATGATTAGAGCTTTGTGACATGGTGGAAGTAGCCATCAGAGGATGGGTACATGGTGGCCATAAAGGGATGGACATGGTCAGAAACAATGCTCAGGTAGGCCGTGGCATTTAAACGATGCCCAATTGGCACTAAGGGGCCTAAAGTGTGCCAGGAAAACATCCCCCACACCATTACACCACCACCACCAGCCTGCACAGTGGTAACAAGGCATGATGGTTCCATGTTCTCATTCTGTTTACGCCAAATTCTGACTCTAACATCTGAATGTCTCAACAGAAATCGAGACTCATCAGACCAGGCAACATTTTTCCAGTCTTCAACTGTTCAATTTTGGTGAGCTCTTGCAAATTGTAGCCTCTTTTTCCTATTTGTAGTGGAGATGAGTGGTACCCGGTGGAGTCTTCTGCTGTTGTAGCCCATCCGCCTCAAGGTTGTGCGTGTTGTGGCTTCACAAATGCTTTGCTGCATACCTCGGTTGTAACGAGTGGTTATTTCAGTCACTGTTGCCCTTCTATCAGCTCGAACCAGTCTGGCCATTCTCCTCTGACCTCTGGCATCAACAAGGCATTTCCGCCCACAGAACTGCCGCTCACTGGATGTTTTTTCTTTATCGGACCATTCTCTGTAAACCCTAGAGATGGTTGTGCGTGAAAATCCCAGTAGATTAGCAGTTTCTGAAATACTCAGACCAGCCCTTCTGGCACCAACAATCATGCCACGTTCAAAGTCACTCAAATCAACTTTCTTCCCCATACTGATGCTCGGTTTGAACTGCAGGAGATTGTCTTGACCATGTCTACATGCCTAAATGCACTGAGTTGCCGCCATGTGATTGGCTGCTTAGAAATTAAGTGTTAACGAGCAGTTGGACAGGTGTACCTAATAAAGTGGCCGGTGAGTGTATATATATATATAATCTTAAGGTAATATATATTGTGCAATAAATGCATATGAAATTATTATCATGCTTAAACAATAATTCTCCCTTTGTTGTGGAGGTTTTTCAGGGTTTTACCAGCAAAACAAAACTATCAAAAACTGTTATCAACACAAAGATGTGGTTAAAACCCCAAAATTATGTAAAACAAGAGCTCAAGTGTAACGTTAACGTTAACTTAACTTAGCTAGCTGCTACCTATTCTGAAAACGGTTGAGATGCTAACGGACTTTTTCGAAGACACAAAACCATTTCTATAAAGTAAATATTCAACAGAAGCGTATCAATTATACGTAAGAAAGGTGTCAGGAAACGTTTGTATGTATTATTTGTGTGATTATGTTAACGAAACTTACCTGAAAGAAGCGAAAACAACAGCGAGAGACGCTAGTTTTGCTGTTTGTCAGTTGATGAGGTTTCCTCGTTTCCATGGTTTCCATCTGCTCGCGTGCGCTCCTGTCTTTGAATCAGACAGCTTTGAATATACGACTCAATGTTTACCCGCACGCGCATTGAAACCATAGAACAATTCAAAAGACACGCAGCATTTAAACATCTAGAATTACAACATTTAACATTTTAAAATATCATTAATTTTAAATCATGAATTTAAAAATCATTGTGCAGTTCTATGACCAATGTTTTTTTTTTTTTTTTTTTTTTTTTTACATTAAAAGAGAATATGAAAGCACTAAACACTGCTTTATATAAATGAAAGATGGTAATGAAATTACGGGCCCGTGACGTTGCAGTTTCGTTTGTGTCTGATTGGTCTCAGTCGTTACATCAGTGATATATTTATTAGTATCAACAATATATAATTGTATTATAATAAAAATACATCACTGATGAATACCAAAACAAATCAGTAAACCATTTGCATTGTTTTTATTGTGACAAATAAGTTAATTTTATTTAATAAATACGGTAACACTTTATATGCAGTCCATGCTTATAATGAATTATAGCACCATTTTGACTTATTTATGAGCAATATTACTATTCTATAAATATATTTATAAAGACTCATTAAGACCTACAATATATAGTTACATCTATATTATTTTTTATAATTCCTTATAAGTCACAAATTTGTTATTTTAAATGCACAAGCTCATAATCCATTATGTGCAGTTTTAGTTAATTATGGACTGTTGAATGAAATAACATTTATGACATTTCACGGGATCGTTAAATAGTTTGGTTATGGTGAGTTGCCCACTGTAAACCCTCATGGGGGGCCCATAGTGAAAAACAGCTATGGGCCACGCATGGGCTAACTGCCTGGGGACCCGTGTGGGTTTTCTGTGGGCAAACCCACAGTGGGTTACCCACAGTAAACCCTCATGGGGGCCCCATAGTGAAAAACAGCTATGGGCCCCACATGGGCTAACCCACTGGGGGCCCGTGTGGGTTTTCTGTGGGCAAACCCACAGTGGGTTACCCACAGTAAACCCTCATGGGGGCCCCATAGTGAAAAACAGCTGTGGGCCCCGCATGGGCTAACCCGCTGGGGGCCTGTGTGGGTTTTCTGTGGGCAAACCCACAGTGGGTTTCCCACAGTAAACCCTAATGGGGGCCCAAATGGGCAAAACTGCTATGGGCCCCGCATGGGCTAACCCACTAGGGGCCCGTGTGGGTTTTCTGTGGGCAAATCCACAGTGGGTTGCCCACAGTAAACCCTCATGGGGGCCCAAATGGGCAAAACTGCTATGGGCCCCGCATGGGCTAACCCACTAGGGGCCCTTGAGGGGTATATGTGGGCAAGCCCACTGTGGGCTTGCCCTCAGAAAGCCCAAATGGGGCCCCAAAGGGTTTGCCCTTGCCCACACTGTCCCACAGAAAACCCACACTTGCCCACAGTGGGCCCGCACTGGCATGTTTGCTGGGGGAGATGACGCGGTTCAAAAAAAGAGAAAATCCATCATTTATAGCTAGCTGAAGCGTATGTGCAAAGCATGACACAGAATGCCAATCAACGCCTCTGTTAGCAGCCACAATGTTTTTTGCGTTGTCGTGCACACAGGCAATCACTCGTCCCGTAAGAGCCCACTTTTCCACGGACTCCCTTAACGTCTCTGCTAGGTTATCAGCTGTATGGCGAACGGGCAGGGCTTCAGTTAAAAGGACGAATGATTTTAAAACCCAATCTTCGTCAATGTAATGGCTCGTAATAGTTATGTAACTTTCCGTGTTTAGAGCAGTCCAGCAATCCGTAGTGATGGCAACTACATCAGGTGACTGTAGATCTTCTTTGAGCGAATCTCTTTTTGCCTCATATCGTTTTTCAATGCGGCGTGTGATTGCCGAACGCGAGGGAATGCTGTAGCGGGGTTGAACAATATTCATCAGTTCTTTAAAGCCTTCGCCCTCCACCATTCTAATTGGCATCATGTCCTTTTCGATCATTCTGCAAATCCCGTGTTATGGATTCGGCTTTATCACCACTGCACAAGTTTTGCGCTAGCATCGTGGGGATGGTAGGCTGGACGAAGGTACTCGCAGGTCCCACGGCCGCCTCTCTAATGATGCCCGGGTGTTGGCTGTTGAGATGGTACAACAACGAGGTTGTACTTGAAGTATATCTAAGCACTGCATTGCAATACTTGCATTTTGCCCCTTCATTCTCGATTTTAAAGTGCTCCCACGCTGTGCTTTTCTTTGCCCGCTTCATATTTGAAAACTGGTCATGACTACTTCTTGTGTACATTACAAATGTCTGGGAGCGCTCTGGCGGTCTCTGGTGGTGCAAAAATGTATTACAACTTAATTCAATGCACGCCATTGACGCCACTTAACCGAGCAAAATGTTTCACTCGGTTACGCAATTTTTAACGGTTAATCGGTTAACCATGGACACCCCTAATTCGCATTGTTGAAAATAAATAAAATATCCACATTCCTAGTATTAGGATCTTTTAGAAGTTAATGTTATTTGTGGCCCATCCTGTAGCTTTCCTCTTGTCATCTCAACACACCAGTGGGCAGGGCAAAAGTTGAGACGATGAAGTCGGCGTTGATTTTCTTCTGCAGAGGTGGTCTTTCACTACCTTATTATGTCATAAAAATATATTATGTTATAATGTAAAAAGCTCAAGGAAAATTTGAAAACCCCTTTAACAGTCATGTTTAAAGTCAAAGTGTAATAGCTAATGCTGCACATTTGATGATAATGAAAGTTTCACTCCTTCCAGTTGTGAATAATTCAAGAATTGTATGCATGAATAATTCAAATGTAATTATATACCTATTTGAATACTGTAAAAAAAAATCTAAAACTTCATATTTATCAAAAACACTTATTTACAGTAATCCAATTTATTCACCTCTACAGTTACCAGTATGTTTACTGTAAGGCAAAGTGTATATTTTTCTACCTGGTCTCATGGGAAAATGTGATTACAGATACTCTGACTGGTATTTCCTTTTTTTCCCCCTTTTTTTAAGTGTCTTTTGGTTAGTTGATTTACTACCGTTCGAAAAAAAATTAATAATGTTTTTGAAAGACATATTGGTAACACTTTCTATAAGTCCATTCTTATAATGAAGTATAGCTCCATTTATACTTATAAGTAAGTATTACTAATATATTTATAAAGACTTATTAAGACCTATACTGCATTTTTATTAAATGTAACACGCGCTGTAATCCCAGTAATGGGGGAGGGGGTACTACTCCAGGTTAGCCCCTACAGTCTGGGGATCATCCCGAGCTCTCTTCTGGAAGCAGAGGACCTACTTACAAAACCCTGAATGTTCCTTATTCTTTGGAAATACAACCCCAACTGTTTCCAACTGAAAATTCAGTCCTACTGCTGCTTCATTATCTGTTCATGATGAATTGTTCCGTATACATCAAGGAAGAATCTCTGTGAGTGATTATGCCCTCAGATTTCACACGTTGGCGGCCGTTATGGGCTGGAATGAGACTGCTTTACTTACAGCTTACCGGAGAGGTTTGAATGCAGAGATCCGCCGACAGATGGCCATCTACGATGGTTTGATTGGACATGAAACCTTTATCCAAAGATCGATTCGCATCTCCCAATGACTCACTGCATGCACGTTGGACCTGCGCATCATCCTCCGGCCACACCATCTGTTGCCCTTCCAGCACCAGAACCGATGCAAATCGACTCATTCCATCTTTCCCATGCGGAGCTTCAACGTTGGATACAAAACCAACTATGCCTTTACTGTGGATCAGACGGACACCTAATTCCCATCTGACTTGTCCATCCACCACACCCAGTGGTGAGTACCATTCAACTTCTTTCCCTTGGTTGCACCTCTTACAGTCTCAGTACAAGCCCTCATAGATACTGGATCAGCTCAAACCTCAGGGCGGATGCCCTCTCTCTCGAGCACTTAGAGCAGGACCTGTCAACACCCGAACCTAAGTTTAAACAATTTTTGGGACTACTGTAGCTTAATAGAATTTCATCAATTCTCAAGCACAACATCTTCTGTAGTGCATATTTAACATTAAAACTTGCACTGTTCTGAAAAGATGGAAGTTACATGTGGCAACCAATTAAATGTAAGGACATTACAAAAGATGAATTTAATTAAAAACAGATTTGTCCCCAAAAAATAAATGCTTTAAACAGTGCATTTGCTTTTTGTAAATGAGCTCAAGCTCAAAACCATTCTGCATTATTAGTACAAATTAATTTCCTAGTCTCAAAACAAAATGTCCCAATTGGTTATATTCATAATCACATTAAATTAAGACTAAATTTAATTAATCTTAACCTCTGATTATTACAATAGTGAACAAGCCAGAACTGCACAGACATTACCAACAGACACTTGTACTTTTCGAGATCTGTTGCAGACAGATAGCATGTGGCATACACAGAGTCCATAGGACGTCTTGTATTTCGGCAAGATGGGCAACCCCCTGTAAACATCCACCAGCTTCATGCTTTAAAAAGTGTGTATTTCAACATATTAAAGCCATTGCAGACTAGCATCTGATTCCTGAGGTGTCGAAAAAAGGACAGAAGGGGGACAGAATTACTAAACGTGCACAGCCAGATCAGTGGGACAGAAAGGACAGACTGACACAAGCACATTTGTTAATCTCAACAGACACAACAAACTGGAATGAGTCGACTTGCTGTGTAATTGTGTTTGTGTGTTGCTGGGGTGAGTCCCAAATGCATCGATTGTCCTCCTTCCTGCCTTTGCCCTAGCTGCACGTCCATTCCATCTGCCACAGAGTTTGTACATCACAGATAGATGGGACCAAAATTGCTTCTTATATCTTACTGTGCAGTGTGTCCAACACATATTCTTATTTTCTATTCTGTTATTATTAGCTACTCGCCTGACTTGTGTCTGATTTGAATAACAGCTTTCCAATTTCATATCAAAGTTGCACTTTGAGTGAAAACAAGTGTGCTGAGAGGAAATGATCAGATGAGTGTGAAACTTTTGCATTTTGAGTTCAATATATAATCAAAATATCCAT